AGGAACAGGACATGCATTGCCCAGCACCTTGGGAGATGCATCTCAGCCCCAGCCACCAGAACTACCATGGCGCAACAGCCAGCGGTGCCGGGCCCCAGACCGGTGGTTGGAAACTGCTGCCCTAAGAGACTGCTGTGCATGCCCAGAGGTACATGTACCTCTGATTGAGAATCATTACTGTAGTCTGTGTGATCCTGGAGGACAGAGGTAGAAATGAGGGGCTTGTCAGAATGGATTAGACCAATGGGTGCTCATATCCAGTCTCCCCCTGGTGGTGGCCTCTCTTCAGGGATTCAGTGACTTCTGAGCTGTAAAGTTCCTGGCTCTGTCCCCCCCCGTAGAGCCTCCCCAAATCCCACCTGGAGAGCCGTGAGCGGCAGACGATCATCCCGCACGGAGTTCCCTTCATGGCCAAATTGCTGCACTACTATGTGAGTGAAGACTCCATCTTCCTTCACCTGGAGCATGTACAGGGTGAGTGAGAGAGCCAAGACTCCACAGCTTTTTTGTGCTAGCCCCTACTTCCCTGGTTCTGATCTGGAGTGAGTCTCTCTTGTTCGCTAGGGCTATTTGGGATACTGTTCTGCAGTGATTATGAAAGTCTCCTTCTGCTTTGTAAAGGTGATGCTGTAGGGCTTGGAGACCCTGCAGCAGGTGCCAGCAAGCGGCACTGGGGTTTGGTGGAATAGATAAGAGGCTTTCTGGGATCCATGTGGTTGAGAGAGTAGGATAGAGATTAGGCTGGGGTGAGGCTCCAGTGTGCTGGAAGCAAGGCTGCTGGGCTCATGGAGGCAGGGCTCCTTGGAACATAGATCATTGGCGTGTCTAATCTGGTATCCAGTCTCCCATGGTGATTAATAGCAAGTACTCTGAGCAAGGTGCAGGAAACCCTCCTGTGGACGAATTGTGAATTAACCTTTTGGGACAGGTTCTCCATAACCCCTGCAGCTGGAATGTACATTTCCCCCTTCTTGCTGTTTGGCGAGCACACACAGAGCTATGTACCCCACCACCTGCTCTGCCTCCGCTATTCTTTATTTTGTAGACATGCAGCATGTCCCTCCTGGTCACGTCATTAAACTAAACTCTCCACACTCATCACCCTGGGTGCTTGCTTGGAAGTCCCTCCTCCCTCTCTCCGGCTTCCAATCACTTTCACTCCTATCTCTGAACCCCTTTTTCTTTCTGCTATGTTGGACCTGTGAAAGAGTGACTGGAGCATGGCACTTTGGGGGGACCTGTGAAAGAGTGACTGGAGCATGGCATTTTGGGGGGAGGAGGAGGTGGCACTAACTAAGATAAGAAGGCTCTGAGCCTAGCAAGGGGTATATTCTGGTGGCTCCCATAAGAGAAGGCAAGAGGAAAAAGGATGGGTCCTGTGAGTTTCCAGCCCCAACAGGACTCTAGGGAAGATTTGGAGCCATGTGCGTGGAGCCACTTCTTGTTAGCTGGTTGCCAGCAGCCAGCCTATGCTAGGTTGCTGTGGGCTGTGTTAGTTGTGTTGGGGTCCAGAGGGAATGTCTTCCTTAGACAATTGGTGGAGCTGGCTTGGGCTTTTTCCACTTCTCACAGAAAAACCTCATGTTTGGCTTTTGGGCAACTGGAGAGCTGGAATTCTTCCCCTCGCAGAGGTCCCATTTTGGACCCATGTGAGAGCTGTTTACTTGTCCAACTTTTGGCAGGTGCCCAGAGCAAGAACTCACTAATTCAGGCTCCAGATTCAAAAAGGTAATGTAGTGGGCATCCCAAAGGCATTGCCTTATGAAATAGGGGCATTGTCTTTAGCCCCTGGGGGCAAATGCGACCAAGGGCTGGGAGACTACGGCAGGGAGACTACTGGCCAATAATTGCTGTGCTGGTTAGGGGTTGAGGTCCCTCTTTGACTCAGCCCCCAAAAGGGGGAGAAATGTTAATGGGCAAGTGGAGACCTTTTGAGTTGCTCCTAGTGTGGTGAATAGCTCCCTTTGCCATGGGACCCCCCCCAAGAATTGACAAAGAATCAATGGAAGTGAGGGATCATGCAGGGCTGCCCACTAAGGGGAACCTGGGATGTATTTTGACTAATAAAGGGTTTTTTTGCTAGAAGCTGGGAATGGGTGACAGGGGAGGGATCCCTTGATGATTCCCTGTTCTGTTCACTCCCTCTGGGGCACCTGGCATTGGCAACTGTCAGAAGACGGGATACTGGGCTAGGTGAACCTTTGGTCTGGCTCAGTAAGGCCGTTCATATGTTTTTAAAGTTGCAGCCTGGATGAAATCCATACCATGTGTCCTGGCCTTCATGCAATGAGCGCACAAACAGCATTATCCTACTGCTGATACTTTTATTGCCCAATACTGCAGAGCACAGATTGTCACTCACTATCTGACAGCAACTAACCTTTTTCTCTGTGTGGCTGTGTAACCCACACACCTATGTGGGTTACAGCTACAGCTCATTTCTATTCTAGCCTCTTGTCTGAGTAATTCAGATTGTTCCTTCTATTGTGCATTATCCTGCTTTGTCAACACTGAATTCCATCTGCCATGGTGTTGCCCATTCACCCAGCTTTGTTGGGTCCCCCACGAGTTCCTCAGTTTTTAGTTTCCACTTGCGTAAATCATTAGTTGCGAATGTTGCCACCTGGCTCTTCACCCTCCTCCAGAGTGTTAATAAGCGCAGAGAACAGTACCACACGTCAGAGTGCCTCTTTCAACTTTTTTTGCCATGTTGAAAATTGCCCTTTGTTTTTGTCCAGGATTAGAAATGAGCTAGGGGAAAAACTGTACTATTTTGTTAGTCACTTTGGCAGGGCATTGTGAAGTTGTGTTTGGTTTTGAAAGCATGTATAAACTACATTGGCCGGTTCTCCTTTTCTCCCTTGTTTTGTTGATTCAGTAGATTTGAGGCGGCATGATTTTCCTTTGCAGAAACCGTTCTGGTTTGCCCCCACCATATCATCATCAGATAGATACTGTGAGGATCCAGTGGCTGGGGAGGGTGGCGAGGTGCCATTTCAG